CTCTCATCCTTTTGACAGTCAGCTGGGGAACATTTTGTCGAGGCACCCGCACTCAGAAGACAGCTTGAGAATGATGAACCAGATCAGGTAATGTTGATGTTTAACCGAAAGTCTTCTTCCTCTTCTTCACGGTCACCGGCTGTAAACCCCAGCGGAAAGCTTCTGGTTCTTGTCCACCTATAGACTTTAGACTTGTTCAAGAATCTGACTACCGCTTGCACATCCGATTTGCAGATCTGGCTTGTGTGTATGCAGATTGTTGGTTCCTTGCCCCTCATGCAGATGCACTCCGACTCTGAAGGAAGAGCCCAGTTAGTCGACTACCATAACATGCTTGTTAGGAAGTCTTTGTGATATTTCATATATATTTGTTTGTTTGCTTAACCCCTGGTAGAAAAACCTGGTTGTTTTAACCATTTCTGGACTTGGCTTTGTTCCAAGACCTGATTTTTGTGTGTGCAGCCGTTTTACAGATCTTGCTTTAGTGTGTGTGCAGACTGTTTGTTCCTTGCCTCTCAGGCAGATGCACTCTGCCCCAAATTAGTTGACTCTTACGACAGGCTTGTTGGAAAGGCAGTGGGTCTGTTTTATTTTCCCCACAATGGGACCCTCGAACCTACAGTAGACAATAGTAAAGTAAAAGGGAGCGGCTGGCCAAATGGTTATGAACTTTTATATGGAAGAGCCAGGTTCGAATCCTCAGTAAGATCCTGGATTTTCTGTTTGAAGGCCCCAGCAAAATCCTTACACGCACAGTCCATGCTGTCTGCACAGTCCTCAGGCTCCGAGACCCTTCCTCCCTACACCACAAATGAGGTCATTACAGGCAGTGTTAGCAGTTATATATTTATGGGGTGTTTTTTTTTTTTGGCGGTAAAATAAATAACACATTTGATGCCAGAAGTACATTGAGCATATGGTGGGTGATAAAGTAAATGACCTTTCAGACGTATTGGACATATAGTGCTAGACCTATGTTGTATAGATCAGTTGACACTTTCCTTCCAGGTCTTTACCTGGTACTCATTTAAGGTTTGGTCGACCTGGGAGCAAAGGTCATTTTGGGGTAAAAAAAAGTCTGGCTTCTTTTTTGATTTGAACTCGCGACACTTAGGGTCCGTAAACAAGTGTCTAGATGCTACACCAGGGTGACTCCTAAATAATTGGGTGATTTAATGTAAAAATTATAGCAGTGTTTCCCAAGCCTTTCTTGGACGCGCCACATTTTTTTTTTCAATTAAAATTTTTCCGCGACGCCCTAAACTAAGTCAAAGTATGACTATTCGTGCCTTGGTTAAATTAATTATGAAGCTTTGACAATATTTGGCTGCCCCCTGTGAAGAGGTTGCGGCACCGCTGGGCACAGTTTGGGAATCACTGGGTTATAGTATATGATGGAATCAGATATCTTTTGGATGATCAAGATAACAGATTACAGTGCATGATGGAATTATTTATCTTTTGGATTATTGAGAGAAAAAGTTACATGATATAATGGAGTTGAAGATTTCTTGGAATATTGAGGGAGAAGGTTACAGTATATGATGGGGTTGAACATTTCTTGGAATCCCCGTGTGAGTTCCGGGGCCCCATTGTGGGGGAAATAAGAATAGACCCACTGCCTCCCCAACAAGCATGTCGTAGGTTGACTAACTTGAGACTTCCTTCGAAGTCGGAGTGCATCTGCCCGAGCGGCAAGGAACTAGCAACTGCACACAAATATGCCAGTAAAATGGATGTACACAAAAAACTCAGACACTGGAACAAAGCTAAAGTCTAAATGGAGGAACAACCAGGACTTTCCACCGGAGCTTACAGACGGTGAACGAAGAAGAAGAAGATTTCTTGGATGACTGAAGGAAAAGGTTGATTGAGTTGAAGATCTCTTGGATGTTTGAGGGAAAAAGGGAAAAGGTTGCAGTATATTATGGAGTTGTATATCTCCACGGAAATGAGATGTCTGAGAAGGGCTGTAGGAGTGACCATAAGAGATGAGATCATAAGAGAACAAGTCGGCACAGAACCAATTCTGGATTACATACGAAGACAGCAAGTGAAATGGTTTGCCCACTTAGAGAGAATGCCTTGTGACACCATATCATACAAAGCATACATGGAAAGAGAAGAAGGACGTAGAGCACGGGGTAGACCAAGAACAAGATGGAAGGATAACATCAGAGAAACTCTACAACAGCACGATGTGCCTATCGTCGAGGCAGCCAGAAGAGCTAGAAACAGAACCTTATATCTCTCTCGACACCCACAGCGGTAAAAGAGGAAGTGAAGAAGAAGAAGAAGTATATCTCCTGAAGTGAACAAACAGCCATAACTTTCCGCCTGAGTTTACAGCCAGTAAACATGAAGAAGAAGTTGACTTTTGTGACATACTTGTTGGGTGCAGTAGGTCTATTCTAATCCCCCCCCCCACCCCCAACCCTCCACTATGGGGCCCTAGAATCAACACAAGGAATAAAAACAAACATACATAGTAAAGTAAAGGTCCCTTTTCCACGCCTTTGGACGTATTGGGAATATAGGGATAGACCTATATTTTTATAGATCAATGGGCACATGGTGGGTGATGTGATCAGCATCACGCCAGCTGCCTTTACTTCCTAGGACTGCACCTGGTAGCCAATCAAGACTGGGTCTACCTAGGAGTCAAAGTCATTTCTGAAGAGAAAAAGTCTGGCTCCATCGGGACACGAACCCGTGAGCTTCCGATACGCAGGTGGGCGTCTATCCACCAACGCCACGGTGACTCCCCACATACATACATACATGTATATGTTATTTGTATTTATTTGCTTTAACAGAGCAGAACTCCAGAGCAGGTTGGAGCAGGTGATACTGCTGGACATAGAAGTGGCCAGTAAGCACAATGTGGAGCAGATGCTGTGGAAATCTGTCTACTATCAGGTGATGGAGTCGTACCGAAAAAAATTTGGAGACCAGTTACAAGATGGTGTCTGCAAACAAAGGCTCATTGAGATACTAGATGAAGTTTGTACTGCTTGCATATTTAATCTTTTTTTAAAGTTTATATTTTCTGTGAATGTTATCATTTCTTCTTCTTTTTTTCTATCTTTTCTTCTTCTACTACTCTTTGTTTCCAGGTGAGGCATAGACTTTCATTGATATTATTTTATCCTTTGTTGTCTCTTGTAGTTCCTCTACTCTTTGAATATTGTCGTTCATTCTTCTGTGATCCTTCTTCACCTCTTCTCCTCCTCTTTATTATTCCCAAGTGAGGTGGTAACTCTCAAACCATATTGATTTATCCTTTGCCATCCCTTTTAGTTCCTCTACTATTCTTCCGTCTTTAATCCCAATTAAGATGCTCAGTGAACTCAAACAAAGCTCTTCAGTTCTCTGCTATCTTCTGCTGCTCCTCCATGCCCATCCCATTTCACTTATACCTGTTCCTTATTCTCTTCTCCAAGCACTGTTAAGGACTCCCTCTCCTCTCTTATCTTTCCAGTGTTAATTATCCCTATTTCTGATTCTCTCCTCTCTTATCTTTCCAGTGTTAATTATCCCTATTTCTGATTCTCTCCTCTTTTATCTTTCCAGTGTTAATTATCCCTGTTTCTGAAAGGCAGAAGAAATGAGAGAGAGTCCTCATATGGGTTTCAGGGACCTCATTTTGGTTGGAAACGAATAGACCCGCCGCCCGTTGACAAGCGTGTTGTCAATAGTGACTAATTAGTAAAGTAAAGGACCCTTTTCCACAACTTCAGATGCATTGGACGTATAGGGCTAGGCCCATATTTTATCGACCAATTAGTGCATGAAACTTGGAGCCCAGCTAAAATAAATGAAGCCTTGTTAAAAGTTTTCGAAAACAGTCTTACGATGAATCTTTGGACCCATCAAAGATGCAAGCAGCAGTGAATGGAGAGTGAGAAGCAACAACGAAATTCATAATCTGTTTGTTTAAATCACCACTGATTACCAGCATCATGAGAGCTAATAGACTGAAACAGTTGGAGCGTATTGAAAGAAAGTCAGATGACAGAGAAGTAAAAACTGTATACACCAGGGAGATGAATGGTTGTAGACCACGAGGGAGACCAAGAAGACGATGGAGAGATAATGTCGAGACAGACCAGCAAACACTTGGTGTTACCAACTGGAAAGAGAAGGCCAACCAGATAGGTGAATGGAGGCAAGGGCTCAGAATGCTGAAGAAGAAGAAGAATCGGTGGATGATGTTGTCAACATCACACCAGCAGACTTTACTTCCTAAGATTTTACCTGATACCCTTTTAGGGCTGGGTCGACCTAGAAACCAAGGTTATTTTTGAAGAAAGTCCAGCATTGTCAGAACCTGAACCCATAGCCTTCCAATCCCCAGGCGAGTATCTAGCTACTACACCACGGCGGCTCCCAAAAAATCACTAATTGTTTACTGAAATTGAATGTATTGGACAGAAAGATGCAGATATTGCAGCCTTGCTGTACAAGACAATGTGCCAGCTACTTTTTTAAGGGCATACAGTGAAAACAAAAGAGATAGAAAGAACATCATATCAATGTTGTGGGAACATTCATGGGTGTAGTCAGACAAGAGCACAAGAGGCGGAAGAAGAATAAGAAACCAACACAGAGTTAGTGTCGTGAGCCGCTACAGCCAGCAGGATTTACTAAGGAGGGGATCCGAGCACTTAGGGACTGAATGGTTCAGTGTGCTATGAGAAAAATCTGTCGGCTAACTAACTGGCCTTTGAGAAAACAATTATATATTAATAAAGTAATCGAAAATGTATTGATCGCTCATAGAAAGAAGTAGAAAGATAGAAGCACACTATAGTTACCATGCCGGGAATCAAACCTGTCACCTTCGGACAACGTGTGCGCCTTGCCATGGAAACAAGCGTAATAAGAACATGGTCAAACCATCTGTTTATTTATTTTTGAGAAACCAAATCATGTCAGTTTGGAATGGATAGATGATGGTAGTTTAAAAAAAAAATGTTTTTCAACTGAATCTGTTGCAGGGTACACGCTTTTTTGAGAATCTCCTGAAGAAGCTTCAGTCAAGTTATGAGTTTGATCTGGAATTGTTCACTGATGGACACAGACCAGTTCTGGAAAATGTCAACCGCAACGTCAAGCTGGCTCTACTCAGCGCCCAGCGGGTGATGATGTTTCTAGGTGACATTGCCAGGTACCGGGAGCAGTCATCTGACACCACTAACTATGGAAAAGCAAGGCAGTAAGTTTTTTTATTTTTTGCCTTTCTTTTTTGTCTGTCTCTCGGTTGGTTGGTCTTTTTCTACATTTTTTTAACTGTTTGTTTGTGACTTGTCTCTCTTATGTCAGCACCCAAAGCTTAGGTGTTGTGAACATGCTTCATATTTCCAAAATATTCATTTCATTTCCAGCTGTAGGTTATTTGACAACAGACTACTTTGCATTGATTTCATCCAATTTATAGGAAGCAGATTGTTCATAAGTAATGTCAAACTACTGAGTATAAAATTGCATAGTAAAACTAAGATTTCGTCCATTGTACAGGAAGCAAACTGTTCATAAGTAATGGCTAACTACTGAGTGTAAAATTGCCTAGTAAAACTAAACAGCCACAATAAATAACAAAGGCATGGATTCTTTCTACAACACCCTCTGTAAAGATATGCAGCTAACTTTCTGTTGCTCTGTCTCTTTCTGCATTAATTACTCTTGTCTTTATCTGACTCTTTGTCTTTACTTTTTTTCCAAGTGCATGTGCGTGCACACCCCTGATTTAGTATTTGTGAATGTCAGTATGTGCTGTGATTGTGTCTGCACTCACAGACAGTAGAATGTATCATACTAAGACTGCATTACAAATGAGGAAGTTCGTCATAAAATTATACAGCACATTGACAACCATGAACCTCTTTTAACTAGTGAAAAGTCCAAAAATGCAATGGTGTGGACATGTAATAAGATCTAACGGCCTCTCAAAAACAATACTGCATGGCTCAGTAGAGGGAAAGAGGAGAAGAGGCAGACCAAGAAAGACCTGGGCAGGCCTCAGGCATGCAACCATGAAGTCCATCGCAACTGAGGTGGAGAGAGCTGATCAGACAGTCAACAGAAACTGGTGACCCAACGAAACATAGTGTTACGAGATGGTGATGACGATGATGACGCTTGATGCATGCTTTTTCCATTACTGTCATGCTAAGTGTCCAGATGAAACATTTTAAATGTATCTAACATGGTGAAAAAGAATGTACTTATTTGCATGGTCGTGGAAATCCCAGATTTGCAGTCTGCTCCCTTCAGATCTCCGGAGGGCATAACCCCTGACGAATGAGAAGCTCAGCATACGGATGTGAGGTTAATCAGTCATGTACAGGACGTGATGATTCCTTGGGTGAGCCTCGAACCAGAGCATCATTTTTCAGCTCTGTATTTATGGAAGCTTCTTGGATGGCAGCAAATGCCCATGATCTGCCCCTGTCAATCAACTGATTTCCGCCAGTGTATATGCAGTTGCCCTGAATGGGTTCTCCAGGGACAACACCTGTAGATAAAGGGACAAAGAGAACACCACACAAATAAGACTGCGCCCTGTCCCATGAAACTATCCGAGAAGTTCACCCAGTCAGCAAATGCTTGATGAAATCAGATGTCTCAGCGGAAAAGCACAGATATTGCAGCTTTGTTGCTAACAGGCACGACACAGTTACATTAATCAGAACGAAAAGGAGAAGATGAGGATTAACAACAGACTAACCCATAAAGAAAAGGTCTTACCCAGTCCCAATTCAGTATGGAGACCTACTGACTGATAACATTTAAAACTTTTAGACATTTTTAATTATTGCAAAGTGCCCTACTTGAATAATCACGTTATAAAGGTGACTCCGTGTGATGTTGATCACCTCAGCCACTGAGTGCAGATTGGTGTACAGAATATGAGTTCGGCATCATATACCAGATGGGCACTGGTGTGAAAAAAAGGTCCTTTATTTGTCTCACTTTTATTTTAGTTGGTACCTGAAAGCCCAGAGGATCCACCCACGAAATGGACGGCCTTACAATCAGTTGGCTATTCTAGCAGTTTATACTGTAAGTAACTCTGTAGTTTGTTTTAACTAATGTAGCCTCTCCCTTGGACTGCCAGAGTAAATCACAAAGATTGCTTGAAAGAAGCTAATGAAAAAAAGGTTAATATATACAGCTGTAAGGAAAAGACAAGCACTGTTCTTTGGTCGTGTGATGAGGGGGGGGGGGGGAGGCTTTGGAGAATATTGTAATGACTGGGAAGATCAATGGTAGAAGAGGGATAGGCAGACTGAGTGAGATGGTGATGAAAGGATTGCGACGGTGGTATGGGGAGATATTAGTGGAACTGATCTAGAGGAAAGAGATCCATTGAGATGCATGAATGCCTACGCCTGTCAGCAGGGCACGTGGTGATGATGATGCCTGTCAGAGATATTGTGTGTTTGATCTGTGTACACATGGGGCTGTAATGTGCAGTGTTGCCACTTTTCTTTGACAGAAAACATCTAGAACTTAGTCAAAAAATATTAAGAAATATCTAGATTTGTGTGGGGGGGGGGGAGGTGGTGGTCACATCTAGAAAAAAAACATCAAAATGAAACACTCAGAAATTGCATAGCGATTGTAATGATTTACCCTATATATTTATGTCCTCATCTTCAATGATGTCTGTCTCACAAGATCCACAGGATAAACTTAGCTTGGATGATGAAGTTAAAGCTTCAGATCCAAAATGACTTACGCTTTAGCTGTTCCAATTTCTTTTAATACATAATCAGGGAGCTGATAAGTTAACATCAGGCCAAATTTTATTGCCAAGATAGCATTTAAGCGGTCAATTTTCATCCTCTTTATTAGGTTAGATTTGATTCATAGCACTGAAAACTCTTTCTGCATCCGCATTTGAGTGGGGTAGTATCATAGCAGACATGGCACATTCAAAGAGCTTACAGAATGGACTGATTCCTGAGGCATATTTAAATAGTTTCACTTCACTCCAAAACACTTCAGTTTCTGTTTTGTTTGTCCAGTCAACCAAGTTTATTTTGGTTAATTGATTTTCTGCTTGCACTACACTATTATCAGTAGCCCCTAAAAATTTCATAACTTTACAATATTTAGGTATCATTACTGGTGAAGTATGTTGCTCACAGAAAAGAGTGAAATATTTTTCAATGCATCTAGATTTTCAGGAAGTTTCTGCTTCAATTGCTTCAATAATGAGATAAGGAAATCTTGACAGCGTTTTCTTAAGTTGTTCTCTTTATTTTATGTTAACAGTTCTTTTGTTTTTAAATCATCAATTTTTTATTCGATTTGATATTCAAGGTATGGCTTAGGAGCCAAATAGCTCTCTATAGTGTAGGTGAGAAAATCAGCTTTAGAAGTTGGCAACACCAGTCTTTTACCTTCTTCTTCTTCACTTCCTCTTTTACAGCTGTGGGTGTCGAGGGAGATATAAGGTTCTGTTTCTAGCTCTTTTGGCCGCCTCAACCATAGGCACATCTTGCTGTTGTAGAGTTTCTCTGATGTTATCCTTCCATCTTCTTCTTGGTCTACCTCGTGCTCTACATCCTTCTTCCCTTTCCATGTATGCTTTGTATGGTAGCACAGAGTTGGAATAAATAAACTTTGGATAAGATGTCTCTTTGTGCTGATTGGGATTGTCTTATGCTGTAAGAGGGGGGGGGGGGGGGTGGGGGGGGGGGGGGGGGGGGGGGGGGGGGGGGGGGGGCTAGCTGTCCCAATACTTGGTTTGCTTTATTGCATCTAATGTTAATTTCTTTATCCAATTTCCCATCTTCGGTAAATGTAGTTCCCAGATATTTAAACTCAGATGCCTGTTTAATGCCTTTGCACTCTATTGCTATGTTTAGATCTGTCTTCCTTTTTCCTATTGACATTACTTCTGTCTTTTCAGTGTTGATTCTCATATTATTTGTTTTACATCACACTTTTCCATTTGAACTAGTCCAAGATATATAGAAACTACTTTGTCTTTACTGTAAAATATAATACACACACCAAGCACTTTCAGTACAGAAATGTCATTCGATTCGTCTAATAATAAACTATGTATATTTTAAAGAAATATCACAGATCAAATCTGTCTAAAATTGAGAAAATAAAGTATTTCTTATAATATGTGTACACTTGCTGCGATGCATTTTCACATCATCCATAACTTTACTGTCAGAAATTGTGTTTTTTAAACAAATCAATTAAATGGTCACAGTTCGAAATTGCACAATGACAACTTAAAAACATTGCGACTGATCCTTAAACTTTTGATGATTCATTTATCAGTATAGTTCTGAAGACAGATGTCAGCGGTGTAATATCTTTGAATGGAACTGCAGTTTTATGCTTTTTAGTTTTGGCATGACTCTTTAAGGCTTGTATTTTCACTTTAATTTCACACTTGCAGTATTTACAGCGAGTTTTAGTCGTATCTCCATGAACTGCCATCACCCAGTCTTTAATTATGTCATCATGCAGCCACTCTTTCCGAAATTGTTGCTCACACTGCTTTACTTTTGGCGTGTTGAATGGTTTTTCAAAGTGGAAGACACATATGAAGGTGAGGAATTATTGAAAAAACACACATAAAAATGAACCACAAAGTCAGCATAACAGCTATAATTTACAACACAGTGAGGATACAGTTCAAACAAAGATAGTATGATTTACGTGCACTCCTAATCAGTGCCAGGGCTGCCAGATTGTTGGCGTTGACTCCAGTGAATTCAAATTTTAATTATTCCAGTTACTACAGTGTACGTGCCGAGACCAAAACAAAAAATGTGTAATAAATATTTCATACAGTTATTATTAAACTGACACTTAAAAAAAATCTGTAATATATCGAACTCCAAAGGAAAAACATTGAGAATTACATCTACCATCTAGACGTCAAAAACACCATCTAGATGCAGGGAAAAACATCTAGATCTGGATGTAAAATATCCAAAGTGGCAACACTGATGTGTATCAGTCTAATATTACAGTTTCATGACTGGCTACCCTTCGCATTGGCCATCCACACCTACTGATCCAATTTCCCTTGGCACATCCCAGTTCACCTGTAAAGGGCTTTGATTAATTTATTTCCTTTCCAAAATTCAGAGGGGATCAGGTAAGTTTGACATACTTTATATAATTCTATCATGTACATAATATTTTGGGTGCCGCCGTGGTGTAGCAGCTAGGCGCTCGCTTGCAGGTCCTAAGGTCGTGGGCTCGGTCCTTTTGTCGTAATTGTTCTGCTGATAAAGGGTAATAGCCAAAGCATCCTTTGTTCATTGTAATTGGTTTTGTAAACCTGACATATACTTTATGTTTGCTTTTGTAAACCTGTCATATACTTTATGTTTGCTTTTGTAAACCTGGCATATACTTTATGTTTGCTTTTATAAACCTGACATATACTTTATGTTTGCTTTTGTAAACCTGACATATACTTTATGTTTGCTTTTGTAAACCTGGCATATACTTTATGTTTGCTTTTGTAAACCTGGCATACACTTTATGTTTGCTTTTGTAAACCTGGCATACACTTTATGTTTGCTTTTGTAAACCTGGCATACACTTTATGTTTGCTTTTGTAAACCTGTCATATACTTTATGTTTGCTTTTGTAAACCTGGCATATACTTTATGTTTGCTTTTATAAACCTGACATATACTTTATGTTTGCTTTTGTAAACCTGACATATACTTTATGTTTGCTTTTGTAAACCTGGCATATACTTTATGTTTGCTTTTATAAACCTGACATATACTTTATGTTTGCTTTTGTAAACCTGACATATACTTTATGTTTGCTTTTGTAAACCTGGCATATACTTTATGTTTGCTTTTGTAAACCTGGCATACACTTTATGTTTGCTTTTGTAAACCTGGCATACACTTTATGTTTGCTTTTGTAAACCTGGCATACACTTTATGTTTGCTTTTGTAAACCTGTCATATACTTTATGTTTGCTTTTGTAAACCTGGCATATACTTTATGTTTGCTTTTATAAACCTGACATATACTTTATGTTTGCTTTTGTAAACCTGACATATACTTTATGTTTGCTTTTGTAAACCTGGCATATACTTTATGTTTGCTTTTATAAACCTGTCATATACTTTATGTTTGCTTTTATAAACCTGACATATACTTTATGTTTGCTTTTGTAAACCTGACATATACTTTATGTTTGCTTTTATAAACCTGTCATATACTTTATGTTTGCTTTTATAAACCTGACATATACTTTATGTTTGCTTTTATAAACCTGACATATACTTTATGTTTGCTTTTATAAACCTGACATATACTTTATGTTTGCTTTTATAAACCTGGCATATACTTTATGTTTGCTTTTATAAACCTGACATATATTTTATGTTTTTTCTGACCCTTCTCTATCTTTTTTCTTCACTATATATATGTGTAATAATATTGAGTGATGATGATATTCATAATCCACTTGTTGAAATTACTAACTGGAAACAATCAACTCATCCTCAGAGACGGAAGCTGGATGCAGTCTATTACTACATGAGGAGTTTGGCAGCAAGCAACCCAATCCTCACTGCAAGAGAATCTTTGGTTTCATTGTTTGATGAAGTCAGGAAAAAGGTAAATCCTTCAAGCCACCAAAATGCTAAATCCTTGTTCTGAGAAAATCCACTTTTGAACAATGAGTGGCAGATGAAAATTCTTTAAGTTCCATAAAAAATAATACTTCATTTTTATCTGTTTGGAGTAGGAATTCACATAAGTGCATTTGACCTTTTTTTTTTAAAGTATCCATAAGCCATGAGTTGTTAAACCTAAGGCTCGGTATTATGGATATTGCAACCCTTCGGCCTTGATTTCATGATAAATACTGTAAATCTGGGAGAAATGTGGCTTTTCTGCCTATCCACGGGCGGGAAGCTGTACCACAAGGAGTTTGTCACCCGGTCACCGCGCAATCCGGTTTAGCCAACTACGCTAGAGAGCCGGGCTGACATTTTGTCAAAGGACAGTAACAGCCCTAAAAATGCAATCAAGTGAACATGGCCGAAATTACACATAGGTGACTTAGAGCAAACGAATATGTCAATGACAGTTTTGTTTCACTTGGATAAGTTGCTTAGATTAATACATTTCCCAGACATACACCATTTTCCTCTTTTAAAAAAATGAAAATAAAAATTTATAGATTAATATCTAGTGATGACACTTAATGAAACAAAAAATATGTTGTGATGACAGTTAAAGAAACAACTGACCATAAAATAATTTTACAAAATAAATCAAATTAGTTATCCTGAATACAGAAATAGTCGTTAAATGATGTGACATGTTAATGTACACTGCATCATCATATTTCACTGTATCTTCTTTGTATTCACCGGCTGTCAGCTCCGGCAGAAATTTGTGGTTGTTTGTCCACTTCTGGACTTTTGACTTTTTTCCAGAACTTGAGTTTTGTATGCATATCCATTGTATAGGTCTGGCTTATTTGTATGCAGATTTTTGGTTCCTCATCTCTCAGGCAGATGCACCCTGACTTTGAAGGAAATACCCCTGACTACACTTTTATGACATGCTTATCATGGAGTAGGGGGTTATTTGATTCCCCACCCCCTCCCACACTTGCACCCTGGAACCCACACAGGGGGTTCTGACTTACCCATTTGTATCTTCTTTTGCCCTTTCGCCTCCAATGGAACAACATAGGCCTTCAACTAACTCATGCTGAGTCATCTTATCCTTTGCTGTTGCACGCAGGTCACCGACATCGGCGACCGGGTCGCTCATTGGCTGGCCAGTTGACGACTTCGTCTCAGGTTGGGACAATATTTGGGTCTGTCTCCTTTGATCGCATCAACACTGCAAGACTTCTTTTCAGAGCTGCTTGGTGGTAAGCAGTGCTAAGTCATTGTATAATGCCCACATAATCTAGTCACAACTATAACCAAAAGCTCCCCCTTCAGGGATGCTGGTTAAAAGTGATTACTTTTTGTCCGCAATCCAAGCCAAGTCAAGCAGGTCACTCCATGTCCTGCCCATCCCTTTAACTTTACCCCCTAGTTCCTTTCTCCAAGATTTTAATGTCCATGCACCTGTGGGTTCCAATGCAAAGACATTCTAGTTATATTGTTCTCAGGTTGACGTTGTTGAAAAGAAAAGATTTGAGGAGAGGAAACAAAGGCAGGCTCTGAAACGTAAACGGCAAAGTCGAGGGCCGCGAGTTGAAATCTGGGTGTTGCCGGATGGAACCAGTACACAAGATAGAGTAAAAGAAGAAGATGATGATGAAGATCTGAGCTCATTATCGGCCATTGAGGTAAGAAACTAGATGTTAGGCAACTATCAAATCACAGTATAACTTCTTTCCTGTTTTTATATTTCAACTGTTTTCAAATTATGATTTTTTTTCTAAACGAAAGATAGATTTTGTATTCCTATGTAATATGCTATGTAATATGCTCTGTCCACCTTCCACCACACAAAATTTTCTGACCAGATACAATCTCAAACACTAAACTACTCAAGTCACAAACCAAGAAACTCTAGACAGTATGATAACCAAGAGAAGACGGAAATGGCTTGGCCACGTTATGAGAATGAATCCTGATATACCTGCCAAAACAGCTCTCACATGGATACCAGAGGAAAAGAGAAAAAAAGGGGTGCCCAAAAACAACACAGAGACGAAGGATGGAAAGTGACCTAAGTCTGGCATCTTTGACATGGAAAACTGCATCGAAGATTGCACAGGACAGGAAAGCATGGAAAGTCCTCTCTGAAGCCTCATGTGCCACTAGGCATAACGAGAACTGATGATGATGGTGTAATATGCTGGTTATTTGTATTTTCTTGAATATACACAAATATTGAGAGCCAACATCTTATAGCAGCTAAACACTCGCTTGCGAAATTGAAGGTCATTGGTTCAAATCTGAACGGACCCAGACTTTAAAAAAAATTTTTTTTACCCTGGTCGACCCATCCTTGAATGCCTAATAGGTAAAGTCCTGGGATGTAAAGGCAGCTGGGATAATGATGACCACATCACATACTGAGTGCCGATTGGTCTGTAAAATATAGATCTAGCACTATATTCCAAGTACGGCTGACGGTGCGGAAAGGGGTTCTTTACTTTTACACAAACTATTGTTGTATTCTGGGAATTATAGATTGTTTTTGTGTCCTATGACAGAAGACAGGTTAAAGTTTTGATTTGTGATAGAAGACATTTTTTTTTTTAGTTGACAGATTTTGCTTCATCTTTTCTAATTTTTATTGTATGCACCTGACAAAATACGATGCAATATGCCAGGCAGGAAATTATAAATAAGAAAAACAATTATTTGTGTATTGGCCAACAAAAACAATAAAATAAAGAGTTTCTGCAAAGACTGGGAAAAGAAGAGTTGCTGAAAGAAATTAGAAAAAAAAATGTGAAATATTTCAGAGATATCAAAAGATGTAACACTCTTTTGAAAATTATTCTGAAGAGGAAAGGTCAAAAACGAGAGAGAAAGGGTACATAGGGATACAAGTGGGTAGACAATCAAGAGATGGATAAACAAGAGTCTGATAGAGTGTATACCCAGGACTAGGGACAAAGCATGTTGGAGATCCATCACAGCCGACCCTCATTGGAGAGGTGACACCTGATTGATTATTTATGTCTTCTTTGTTCAAATTTATAACAGAAAAACATTGCTTTTGTCTCCTGAAACTGTGATCTTCTACACTTCCTCTTTTACCGCTTCAGAATAGAGGAAGGTATAAAGTTTCTTGCTCTTCCGGCTGCCTTGACCACAGACAGATCTTTTCATCTTGTTTTTGGTCCACCATATGCTTTACATGCGTCTCTCCTGTTTATTTGCCTTGTACGATGTGACGTCACAAGGCATTAAGTGGGCAAACCATTTAATTTAATTTCTGTGTATGTTATTTAGAATTGGTTCTGCAGGCTTGTTCTCTTAGGGCTTCATTACTGATTTTTATCTCTTCTGATCACTCCTATGACTCTTCTTAGACTTCTATGACCCTTCCCAGACTTCTATGACCCTTCTCAGACTTCTATGACTCTTCTGAGACATTTCATTTTCATGGTTACTAATTTTCTTCTGTAATCTTCATTTCAGCTAAACAAGCGCTTTGTGCTGACTTACTTGAACGTCCATGGCAAACTCTTCACCAAAATCAAGTGAGTTCTGAATCTAGTTTTTGCTTCATCTTTTTGTTTTATCCGTTTGGTTTTTTTCCACCTTGTCTTATATTAATTTTTGTCTATCTTGCTTTTGTTTTAACTAATTTTTTTGTTTTGTTTATTTCATGTTTTTTGTTTTTGTTTCATCTTATTTTTGTTTTTATCTTGTTTTTTGTTTTATCTTGTTTTGCATTATCATAATTTTGTTTCATCTCGTTTTTGCTTCATCTTAATTTTGTTTCATCTCATTTTTGTTTTTGCTGACCATTTACTTTTAGTCATAGCACAATCGTATACTTGTTACTGCTGGTTTTATCTGATGCTTAGCAACTTAGGGTGAATTAAATGTGGCAGCAAAGTTGCATCACAGTGTCTCATCATGCCTGGTCGACTTCCATCATTTCTTGATGTGTTTTTTTCCCCCAGGGTCAGACTGTTAATAGTCTTTCGGAGTTCATCTTTGTGTTCGTTCTATATCAAGCTCTCTCCATTTGTGGGTTCTCTGGTCCCATTGAAGTAGGGAACAAAGAACAGACTTACTGCCTCCCTAACAAATGTGTCTTAGAGTTGACTAATTATGGCTTGTCCTTCGAAGTTGGAGTGCATCTCCTTGAGAGGTGAGGAACCAACAGTCTGCATACAAATAATACAGATCTGTAAAACGGAGGTGCGTGCAACACTCAGGTTCTAGAAAAAGATTAAAGTCCAGAAGAGGACAAACAACCAGAACTTTCTGCCAGAGTTTAGAGCTGATGAACACGAAGAAGAATAAAGAAATATGTTCTTCTTGTTCTTGCTTAATATCAAGTTCACTGGAGGCAAGTCCGTATCAAGTTCATCAGGGAGGTCAGAATCCATTTCATGGGTTGTCAAATCAGCATCAAATTCATCAGAGAGCAGGCCAGTATCAGGTTCATGAGTTGTCAGATCAGTATCAAGTTCATCAGGGAACAATTCAGTATCAAGTTCATCGGGGAACAGTTCAGTATCAAGTTCATCGGAGAACAGGTCAGGATCAGTTTCATGGGTTTTCGGATCAGTATCAAGCTCATAGCTCATTGGGTGTAAGGTTGCACCTTAGAATAAAACATGACTTGTACAGCTAACCGTAAAGAATATAAATATTGAGATTCTTCTACACCCACACTAATCATCGGTTTTAGTTCTAGATCTCCACCCCCCCCTTTCCCCCGGCGGAAAGAAAATCATTTTGACAGTGATAAAGAGATTATATTGGCATGTGATAACTGGTTTAGCATTTAAAAAAATGGGTGTTCTGTTCCTAAGTTGGTCATCAGTTCAAGTGATGGCTGTGTTGGGAAGAAAAAAATCTTCTTTTTCTTCCTATAGTTCCAGCCATGTGGCATTGATAGTCGTGTATCCACAACTTTCTATCTCATGTACTTTCAGTCAGCTCTGACACAGATGATTTTCCCTGCTATGATGTCAGACTGTCCAGCGTCTTCTCTCTCTGTCTCCCTGTCCCTCTTTTCCTCTCCAGCTTTCACACTGTCATAATATTCTTTGGTTTTATCATTCTCATGACATGACCAGAGATGTAAATTGCCTCCTTCTGATGTGGGCAAACAGTTTTCTTCATGAGTCAGTTTCTTTAAAGACGTCTTCATTAGTATTTTGATCTGTCCGGGGTGTTTTACATCATTCATCTGTAAAACCACATATCTGCCACTTCTACAAAGTTTTACAAATTATAGACTATATAACTTTTATGTGAAACAAACTGTGGTTGGTCAAGCTTATGAAGGTGGAAGTCATAGACATTGTTTCTTGCACGTCTGTCATCTGTGATGCATATCCTTCCCTGTTCTCTGAGGAAGTATTACAACAGTTTTCTCAGTGCTCAGGTGGCTGGGTCACACCTGGAGAATGGAGGTTGGCAGAGTCCCTAAGGAGGTCCTCCATGGTGAATTAATGATAGGTAGAAGATGTTGAGGCTGACCTCTACTACGATATAAAGGTGTGTGCAAGTAGGACATGAACAATACAGGTAATGAGGTGGAATCATGGGAACAAAATGCCATGGACTGTGTTGTGTGGAGGGGATACATCAGGAAGGGAATGAAAATGAAGGAAGAAGTGTTTTCACAAAGGCTGAGAGTCTGAGAAGAACACACTAAACATAAATGTTGACAACAATGGTCCTGAAATTCTATGCTGTAATTGTGGAAGATTTTTTCTTAAAGGGGGCGGGTCTTGCTAGTCACACTCGCTATCGCCATGGAATATGCGTCCCATGCCTCGCACAGTATAGCACTATTGTCTGGAAGATGGAAAGGTGCCAATCGTTAATCCAATCCTCGGATTTATGAATCCTAATAGAAGCTTTTTTTTGTTGTTGTTTGTTGCAGCTTTGAGGTTTTTGCGGAGAGTTCAAGCCTGATGCTTCAAGAGTTCCAAATGTTGATTCAGCATTCACCATGTGTCTTCAGTAGCACACGGCTTCTTCAGTTGATGGTCATCAATATGTTTTCTATAGATAATACTGCTCTCAAAGGTGAGCTAGATGTCTGTCCATTGATCGAAATGTCTGTCTGTTGAGCTAAAGGTCTATGAAATTGAGCTAGATGTCTGTGAAATTGAGCCAAGTGCATGTGATGTTAAGATTGCTGAATTTTAAAATGACATAAAGTTCTTTCAGTTGAATAGATGAATGAGAAGATAAGTTAGTTGTCTTACTAGAAAGTTAGAGATATTTAAAATTATCAGATTGTTTGTTAACATAGCTATGTGTATTTAAAGGTGAGATAGATGTATTCAAAGTTGAAGAATTTAAAATCGTTTCAAAGATCAGCATTTGATTTAATCATACAATGGAACAATAATTTCATAGGCCAGTATTTGATTTAATCATACAATGGAACAATAATTTCATAGGCCACTATTGAACATTATTATACAGTAAGATAAGCATTGCATAGGGTAGTATAATACAGTGGAATGTTTGCCAGTGATGAACATTTTGGTGAGCAGTTTTCCTCCTTCGGCTTCCGGTCAAAAGGGACAGTAGGCAGATTCAAATTGTTTGCTTCTGACAGACGGTGGGCCTTTACATTTTCCTCCATGTGTAAAATGATAAGATACAGTTTTGTCGCCCAGCTACTGTATTGAGTCAGAGAGACTCACCACAAGACAACCTCCCACGAACATAACATGCGGCGAGTGAACCCCGAATGAAGCCATATCATAACACCCCAGCAGCATAAGAGAGGCCGTGCGACCAGATGAAGCATGAATGGGAAGGGGCATAGAAATAAGGCAGACCAGAAAACACATGCAGAAGAGAGCTAGAGGGAAGTTTAAAAAAAATAAGGAGCACAAGGCACGAGCTGCATGCAGTAGCAAAGGATAGGATGACTTGGCGGGATTTGTTTGAGGTAGGGCCTATGCTCCATCAAAGGATGACAGGCAGAAGAACTAGACATGATGGTTGAGGCAGACAGACTTTAAAAAAACAGATAGTTACTTTTGAGTGTTGATGACTTAGTATTTCAGTAAGAAAGATTCATTTATTTGCTTCATTTTAACAATTGTTACTGCAGTGTGTAAGAGTTGCAGTGGCATAGCGGCTAGACGCTCGCAGGCAGATCAAAAGGTCGTGGGTTTGCTCCTTGGCGGCACCGGATTTTTAAAAAAAAATGACCTGTACTCCCAGGTCGACCCAGCCTTGAGTGGGTACCGGATGCAGTCCCAGGAAGTAAAGGTGGCCAGCGTGATGCTGACCACATCACCCATCTTGTGCCGATTGGTGTTTAAAAATATAGGTCTAGCCTGGAAAAGGGACCTTTACTGGTTTTTTATTTTTTATTTTGTTTTTACTGTAGTGTGCAGGTGACGAGATATAGCATAATATGCCAGGCTGTAAATTGTGCAGTCTGTTGTTTGTGTCTTCTTTGTTCAGATTCACAGCTGTGAAACATTGCTCTGTAACTGAAGTTTTGTCTTTAGACTTAAGTTCCTGCGATTTCCATCTACATGCTTGGCTTTTCATAACAATGCTCAAGTCATGTTTTTGTCATCTCAGATGAATCTCTGGAAGACAGTTGTCGTTCTTTGTTGCAAGAACATGCTGTAGAGGTTGGGCTGGACATGTTCGGTCTGCTTGTCAAGCGAAGCTCTGAACTGCTAGCACTTCAGTTGGAAAGCCAGAGAGGAGCTGCAAACAAGGGCATTCGAGACAAAAATGGGAGATTTCTTTCTGAAGGTTTGTTGTTTTCTTTGTTTTATTTAGTGTTTTTGTTTTTAATTTTTTTTTAAAAATGGTGAATATGTTCAAAATGGCATTGAACAATATTTAATGACTGTTAGACTCTCAGGCAGGTGCACTCCAGCTTCAGAGAACAAATTCATCTTTTTCTTCTTCTTCTTCTTCTTCTTCTTCTTCTTCTTCTTCTTCTTCGTTCACCAGCTGTAAACTCTAGCGGAAAGTTCTGGTTGTTTGTCCACCTCTGGACTTTAAGTCTTCTTCTAGAACTTGAGTGTTGCGAGCACATTCTTTTTACAGATTTATAGATCTGGCTTATTTGTATGCAGACTGTTGGTTCCTTGTCTCTTAGGCAGATGCACTCTGACTTCAAAGGAAGCCCCCAATTAGTCGACTGTTACGACATGCTTGTTGGGGAGGAAGTGGGTTTATTCTTGTTTTCCCCATAATGAGGCCCTAGTACCCACACTGGGAAATCCCTAATTAGTGACCTTGATGGGGAGGCAGTGGGTCTATTTTTCTTCCTCCCCAAAGTGGGATCCTGGAACCCACACATGGAGTATATAGTAAACAAATTAACTTGTGTTGGCCAACACTCATAGAAAGAAGTAGAATTAGTTAGAATGACACACTAGTTTGACACTCATAGAAAGAAGTAGAAAAAGGAGACACACTATACAACACATAAAGCTGTAGTATCCTACCAGGACTTGAACTTGTTGCCTGCATGTGTGATGAAGACGCCTCGCTGAGGGAACAGGTATACTTTAGACTCATGACCAACTCGACACCCTATGGAATATGGACAGAGATCATATCCGACCAATGAAATAGCACTTTAGGTTACAAAACTTGATTTATTGTTTTTTTATGTAGTTTTTTTTTCCCCACTGTTTCAGTCTGGCGCTATTTTTTTAAATGAGTTTACTTTTGTCTTCATTTTTGCCTTGTATTGTTCCCCGCCAGATGATAAGAAGAGTATCTGTGAAAACATTGGTGAGAACCCAGTGCCTGTCCAGCGATCTCTAAACACCAGCACTTGTGTCTTGGATGAAGATCTACACATCATGCTGCCAGCGCTCAAAACCTGGGTGGACTGGATGATGTGCCATGCTCACTTGTGGAACCCTCAGCCATTGAACCGACCACCTGAGCTGGGGTCAGTATATAAAACTCCTTCTTTTAGCTTTCACCGGCTGTAAACTCCAGCGGAAAGTTCTGGTGTTTTGTCCACATCTGGACTTTGGTCTTATTGCAGAACTTAAGTTTTGTGTACACATTCATTTTACATATCATGCAGACCGTTGGATCCTCACCTCTCAGGCAGATGCACTTCTTCGAAGAAAAAACCCTCACTAGTCGCCTTTAACAGCATGCTTGTTAGGGGGGGGGGGGCAATCAGTCAATCAAAGAGGCACTGGAAAACTCAACAACAGACTTCTAAGTAACCAAGGTCAACATAAAACTACGAAATATATGATTGGAGAGGGGGATGAACGTAAAGGACTATATTACAAAACTAAATAAATAAGAAAACGTTAAAAAGATGGTTAGAAAAAAACAAAAACAAGTAAGATCAATATGTTTTCCTCCAGGACTGAGAATGACAACTAAATGAAATGATTTTCTAAAGTTTTGCGGCTGATTTGATAAACATAGACATTGCCACTGAAGATGCGTAGGCTATGAAAGCGCACGGGGCTGGAGAAAGAACTTTCAGGCGGGCCATGAAGAAAGCTACGTTCTGTGAAGGTCATGCTGATTGATTAATTGAGTTCGCCATTGCTTACTAAATGTTTGACTCTCTGTGCCATTTTCAAAATCTATAGCATCACCTTCATCTGTGTTTTCATCAATCAGTGTTCTGACTAAAGTGTCAATAATGTCAGGAATCTGCTCTCTACAGCCTCCATCAAGTATGATGTGGACTGTAATATTAATGTTTGGAGAATGAGGCATAATTGTCCATTCAATTCCTAAATTCCCTACAAGTGTGCCTTTCAAACAGGACCACAAACATGTGAGTAACTTCTGCAGACCTGCCCACTGTACCTACAACTTCAAAAAGAAACCTGGCCTCAAGAGCAAAGTGTGCAGAGCAAGCTATGGGGAACCATGAAGGACCTGCTGCTGACATGCAAGTTCATAGAGGCAACCCACCTGATGGTCTGATCTGAGCATACGAAACCGAACACAGAGAAGAAGAAAAAAAGTCACCTCCTGTGACATGCTTGTTAATGGTTCCGTGGGTCTGTTCTTTGTTCTCTAAAATGGGGCCCAGGAGCCCACACGAGGAGTAAGTGAGTTCCTTATTGGCTACTTAGGAAGAGGACAGAACATGTGTGGGAATGCCCAAGTATGTTCATCCTCTTGATATATCTTTGTTGCTGTGTTCATTCTTTTGATGTATCTTTGTTGCTGTGTTCATTCTCTTGATGTGTCTTTGTTTGCTGTGTTCATTCTCTTGATGTATCTTTGTTTGCTGTGTTCATTCTCTTGATGTCTCTTTGTTTGCTGTGTTCATTCTCTTGATGTTGCTGTGTTCATTCTCTTGATGTATCTTTGTTTGCTGTGTTCATTCTCTTGATGTATCTTTGTTTGCTGTGTTCATTCTCTTGATGTATCTTTGTTTGCTGTGTTCATTCTCTTGATGTGTCTTTGTTTGCTGTGTTCATTCTCTTGATGTGTCTTTGTTTGCTGTGTTCATTCTCTTGATGTGTCTTTGTTTGCTGTGTTCATTCTCTTGATGTATCTTTGTTTGCTGTGTTCATTCTCTTGATGTGTCTTTGTTTGCTGTGTTCATTCTCTTGATGTGTCTTTGTTGCTGTGTTCATTCTCTTGATGTATCTTTGTTGCTGTGTTCATTCTCTTGATGTATCTTTGTTGCTGTGTTCATTCTTTTGATGTATCTTTGTTGCTGTTTATTCTCTTGATGTATCTTTGTTGCTGTCTTCATTCTCTTGATGTATCTTTGTTGCTGTCTTCATTCTCTTGATGTATCTTTGTTGCTGTGTTTATTCTCTTGATGTATCTTTGTTGCTGTCTTCATTCTCTTGATGTGTCTTTGTTGCTGTGTTCATTCTCTTGATGTATCTTTGTTGCTGTGTTCATTCTCTGGATATATCTTTGTTGCTGTGTTCATTCTCTTGATGTATCTTTGTTGCTGTGTTCATTCTCTTGATGTATCTTTGTTGCTGTGTTCATTCTCTTGATGTATCTTTGTTTGCTGTGTTCATTCTCTTGATGTATCTTTGTTTGCTGTGTTCATTCTCTTGATGTATCTTTGTTTGCTGTGTTCATTCTCTTGATGTGTCTTTGTTTGCTGTGTTCATTCTCTTGATGTATCTTTGTTGCTGTGTTCATTCTCTTGATGTGTCTGTGTTTGCTGTGTTCATTCTTTTGATGTGTCTTTGTTTGCTGTGTTCATTCTTTTGATGTGTCTTTGTTTGCTGTGTTCATTCTTTTGATGTGTCTTTGTTTGCTGTGTTCATTGTCTTGATGTGTCTTTGTTTGCTGTGTTCATTCTTTTGATGTGTCTTTGTTTGCTGTGTTCATTCTCTTGATGTGTCTTTGTTGCTGTGTTCATTCTTTTGATGTGTCTTTGTTTGCTGTGTTCATTCTTTTGATGTGTCTTTGTTTGCTGTGTTCATTCTCTTGATGTGTCTTTGTTGCTGTGTTCATTCTCTTGATGTGTCTTTGTTTGCTGTGTTCTTTTTTTTTTTGATGTGTCTTTGTTTGCTGTGTTCATTCTCTTGATGTGTCTTTGTTGCTGTGTTCATTCTCTTGATGTGTCTTTGTTGCTGTGTTCATTCTCTTGATGTGTCTTTGTTGCTGTGTTCATTCTTTTGATGTGTCTTTGTTTGCTGTGTTCATTCTCTTGATGTGTCTTTGTTTGCTGTGTTCTTTTTTTTTGATGTGTCTTTGTTTGCTGTGTTCATTCTCTTGATGTGTCTTTGTTGCTGTGTTTATTCTCTTGATGTGTCTTTGTTTGCTGTGTTCATTCTTTTGATGTGTCTTTGTTTGCTGTGTTCATTCTTTTGATGTGTCTTTGTTTGCTATGTTCATTCTCTTGATGTGTCTTTGTTGCTGTGTTCATTCTCGTGATGTGTCTTTGTTGCTGTGTTCATTCTCTTGATGTGTCTTTGTTGCTGTGTTCATTCTCTTGATGTGTCTTTGTTGCTGTGTTCATTCTCTTGATGTGTCTTTGTTGCTGTGTTCATTCTCTTGATGTGTCTTTGTTTGCTGTGTTCATTCTCTTGATGTGTCTTTGTTGCTGTGTTCATTCTCTTGATGTGTCTTTGTTGCTGTGTTCATTCTCTTGATGTGTCTTTGTTGCTGTGTTCATTCTCTTGATGTGTCTTTGTTGCTGTGTTCATTCTCTTGATGTGTCTTTGTTTTGCTGTGTTCATTCTCTTGATGTATCTTTGTTTTGCTGTGTTCATTCTCTTGATGTATCTTTGTTTTGCTGTGTTCATTCTCTTGATGTGTCTTTGTTTGCTGTGTTCATTCTCTTGATGTATCTTTGTTTTGCTGTGTTCATTCTCTTGATGTGTCTTTGTTGCTGTGTTCATTCTCTTGATGTGTCTTTGTTTGCTGTGTTCATTCTTTTGTTGTGTCTTTGTTTGCTGTGTTCATTCTCTTGATGTGTCTTTGTTTGCTGTGTTCATTCTCTTGATGTGTCTTTGTTGCTGTGTTCATTCTCTTGATGTGTCTTTGTTGCTGTGTTCATTCTTTTGATGTATCTTTGTTTGCTGTGTTCATTCTTTTGATGTGTCTTTGTTTGCTGTGTTCATTCTCTTGATGTGTCTTTATTGCTGTGTTTATTCTCTTGATGTGTCTTTGTTGCTGTGTTTATTCTCTTGATGTGTCTTTGTTGCTGTGTTCATTCTCTTGATGTGTCTTTGTTGCTGTGTTTATTCTCTTGATGTGTCTTTATTGCTGTGTTCATTCTCTTGATGTGTCTTTGTTGCTGTGTTTATTCTCTTGATGTGTCTTTGTTTGCTGTGTTTATTCTTTTGATGTGTCTTTGTTGCTGTGTTTATTCTCTTGATGTATCTTTGTTTGTTCATTCTCTTGATGTGTCTTTGTTGCTGTGTTCATTCTTTTGATGTATCTTTGTTTGCTGTGTTCATTCTCTTGATGTATCTTTGTTTGCTGTGTTTATTCTCTTGATGTGTCTTTGTTGCTGTGTTCATTCTCTTGATGTGTCTTTGTTTGCTGTGTTCATTTTTTTTGGATGTGTCTTTGTTTGCTGTGTTCATTCTCTTGATGTATCTTTGTTTGCTGTGTTTATTCTCTTGATGTGTCTTTGTTGCTGTGTTTATTCTCTTGATGTATCTTTGTTTGCTGTGTTCATTCTCTTGATGTGTCTTTGTTGCTGTGTTCATTCTTTTGATGTATCTTTGTTTGCTGTGTTCATTCTCTTGTTTGCTGTGTTTTCTTGTTGCTTTGTGCTGTGTTCATTCTCTTGATGTGTCTTTGTTGCTGTGTTCTTTTTTTTTGATGTGTCTTTGTTTGCTGTGTTCATTCTCTTGATGTGTCTTTGTTTGCTGTGTTCTTTTTTTTTGATGTGTCTTTGTTTGCTGTGTTCATTGTCTTGATGTGTCTTTGTTTGCTGTGTTCATTCTCTTGATGTGTCTTTGTTGCTGTGTTCATTCTCTTGATGTGTCTTTGTTTGCTGTGTTCATTGTCTTGATGTGTCTGTGTTTGCTGTGTTCATTCTCTTGATGTGTCTTTGTTGCTGTGTTCATTCTCTTGATGTGTCTTTGTTGCTGTGTTCATTCTCTTGATGTGTCTTTGTTTGCTGTGTTCATTCTCTTGATGTATCTTTATTGCTGTGTTCATTCTCTTGATTTGTCTTTGTTGCTGTGTTCATTCTCTTGATGTGTCTTTGTTGCTGTGTTCATTCTCTTGATGTGTCTTTGTTGCTGTGTTTATTCTCTTGATGTGTCTTTATTGCTGTGTTTATTCTCTTGATGTGTCTTTGTTGCTGTGTTTATTCTCTTGATGTGTCTTTATTGCTGTGTTCATTTCATGTGTCTTTGATGTGTTCATTCTCTTGATGTGTCTTTGTTGCTGTGTTTATTCTCTTGATGTGTCTTTATTGCTGTGTTTATTCTCTTGATGTGTCTTTGTTGCTGTGTTTATTCTCTTGATGTGTCTTTGTTGCTGTGTTTATTCTCTTGATGTGTCTTTATTGCTGTGTTCATTCTCTTGATGTGTCTTTGTTGCTGTGTTTATCCTTTTGATGTATCTTTGTTTGCTGTGTTCATTCTCTTGATGTGTCTTTATTGCTGTGTTCATTCTCTTGATGTGTCTATGTTGCTGTGTTCATTCTCTTGATGTATTTTGTTTGCTGTGTTCACTCTCTTGATGTGTCTATGTTGCTGTGTTCATTCTCTTGATGTGTCTTGTTTGACTCCTACACAGGCCTCACATTGATGTATGGAAGAATGTTGCCACATTCTGTGATCTCTTGAACTCTGTGGAAACCAAACCAGGCTGCCTGATACGGGAGCAGAAGCCAGGTATGTTATGTGTAATGTTAGTGATTTCTCTTCTTTGTTCACTGGCTGTAAGCTAGGTTCTGGAACAGGACTGCAGTCCAGAAGTGGACAAACAACCAGAACTTTCCACTGGAATTTTCAGCCGGTGTATGCAAAGAAGTAGAAAATGAGAAGAAAGAAATTGGAATTTGTTGTGACAACTGGAGCGATTTGTGAAACAAAAGAGTTAAAAGAAGATTCTTGACTGCCTTACGCCATTGCATGGAGGGGTATCAGCACGTGAACTGATATATGCTGTTGATCGCAATTTGTTCCACGCCTTCAGCAGTATTGGGTTTTATAGAGCTAAACCTACTTTTCGTTATTTGGTTACTGATGTGGTCATCATCATGTCAGCTGCCTTTACTTCCCAGGACTTTTATCTGGTACCCACTCAACGCTGGGTCAACCTGGAAGCCAGGGTCATTTGTTTTTTTAAACAGCAGTCAGGTTTCTTCAGGACCCAAACCCACGCCCTTTCGGTCTGCATATGAGTGTCAAGCTGCTACACCACAGCGGCTGCCAGCATCATACCACAGCGGCTGCCAGCATCATACCACAGCGGCTGCCAGCATCATACCGCAGAGGCTGCCAGCAACACACCACAGAGGCTGCCAGCAACACACCACAAAGGCTGCCAGCAACACACCACAGAGGCTGCCAGAAACACACCACAAAGGCTGCCAGCAACACACCACAGCGGCTGCCAGCATCATACCACAGAGGCTGCCAGCAACACACCACAGAGGCTGCCAGCAACACACCACAGCGGCTGCCAGCAACACACCACAGAGGCTGCCAGCATCATACAGCAGCAGCTGCCAACATCATACCGCAGAGGCTGCCAGCAACACACCACAGAGGCTGCCAGCAACACACCACAGAGGCTGCCAGCAACACACCACAGAGGCTGCCAGCAACACACCACAGAGGCTGCCAGCAACACACCACAGAGACTGCCAGCATCATACAGCAGCGGCTGCCAGCATCAAACCACAGAGGCTGCCAGCAACACACCACAGAGGCTGCCAGCAACACACCACAGAGGCTGCCAGCATCATACAGCAGCGGCTGCCAGCATCATACCGCAGCGGCTGCCAGCAACACACCACAGAGGCTGCCAGCATCATACAGCAGCGGCTGCCAGCATCACACCACAAAGGCTGCCAGCAACACACCACAGAGGCTGCCAGCAACACACCGCAGCGGCTGCCAGCAACACACGGCAGCGGCTGCCAGCAACACACGGCAGCGGCTGCCAGCAACACACCACAGAGGCTGCCAGCAACATACCACAACGGCTGCCAGCAACACACCACAGAGGCTGCCAGCAACACACCGCAGAGGCTGCCAGCAACACACCACAGAGGCTGCCAGCAACACACCACAGAGGCTGCCAGCAACACACCACAGCGGCTGCCAGCAACACACCACAGAGGCTGCCAGCAACACACCACAGAGGCTGCCAGCAACACACCACAGCGGCTGCCAGCAACACACCACAGAGGCTGCCAGCAACACACCACAGAGGCTGCCAGCAACACACCACAGAGGCTGCCAGCAACACACCGTAGCGGTTGCCAATCAACACACTTGATGATGAGAATTGTTATTTTAAACGAAACGCATGCTACCATCTTGTACATTCATTAATGAAGTGAATTATTTGATCAGGGTATGGGCCGGTGGTACTGCATGAAGATACAACCCTAGCTGGCTTCGTTCCCATGTTGAGTGCGCCGCAGGAGATATTCTATGCCGACTCAAGTATTGATCAGGTATTCATTGTTGCATGTTTTGTTTGATTATAAATTGGATAAATAAAGGTCTAGCCCTATGTGTCCAGAACGCCTGAAGGGGTGGAAAAGGGTTCTTTACTTTTTGTTTTCTTTCACTTTTTGTGTTGGATAGACACATTACACAGTAAAGTTATCCACACCTTAAAACATTTGCTGCTGGAGACGAAGCATCTGTGGGTATTCCCTGTGTGCCATGATGTTGATTCTTAAATCAGGAAACCAGGATAGAATGCTTTTCCATGTTGCTGTAACATGTTCAGGTGTGCTTTATATAAAGACATGTTTTGCCATGTTCAGGTGTGCTTTATATAAAGACATGTTTTGCCATGTTCAGGTGTGCTTTATATAAAGACATGTTTTGCCATGTTCAGGTGTGCTTTATATAAAGACATGTTTTGCCATGTTCAGGTGTGCTTTATATAAAGACATGTTTTGCCATGTTCAGGTGTGCTTTATATAAAGACATGTTTTGCCATGCTTAAGTGTGTCTCAGGCAACGTCCCAAAAGACAACTTATTCACAAGCATTAGAAAAAGACAGTCATCACTTTTTTGTCACATTTTGATGAGAAGAAAGAAATTAAAATATATTGTGACAACTGTAGCGATTTGTGAAACAAAAGAGATAGATGAAGACAGTGCAAAAAGAACCTTGACTGCCTTTTGTCATGGCATGGAGGGGTATCTGAAACGTGTTTTTGTGACAACATACTTTGCCATGTTTGATAACAGACTCAGACATCTCTGATAACATTTGCAGATTCGGGTATGAATTTTATCATACTCAGCAATATGTTGCAACACATTGGGATGTGTTATAACACACCTAGCCATGTCATGGCACATACACACTGAGACATGTTTTATATCAGACATGTTATATAATGCAGACATGTTTTGTATATACTTATATGAGCATTACCATCATCATGGTGTTGCTGGTCCTTTGCAGAATGTCGCTCTCATTGCAGTCTGCCTGAAAAGAAAAAAAAAACTCTGTGTCTAACCCCTGCCCTTCCTTCCTGGTACCATGCCTTCTGCTATTATTTTGTTCCTCCACTGCAGTGCTTTATATGACCAAAATATTTTATAGCTTCCAGGACAAGATGCTGTTTATTAGATTTCTTTCTTTTCTTCTTTGTTACAGTATTCTGAGAATCTTTGGTAGCATTACAGGTCAGAAGTCCCTGTTCTCTTCCTTAAGGACTGGGAGGTAGTCCACGATTCACATATGAGCATTATAACACTGTCAGATGTGTTTAACGCAGGCATATTGCTTTTTGAAAATGAAAAAACTTTAACTTCTTCTTGACTGAGGTGCCAGTATTGTCTTTTCTGGCAGCAACAAGCTGAAGATTGGCTGCGTATCGAGAAACTCCGCCTCTTTGGAGAGTATTTGTGTGGAGTGGAGCCGGCCATGCTGGCTTTTAATGTGGAAAGTGGGAAGTACTATTCTGTGGCACCCTCGCCGACTCGGTCGGAAGAAAAACTGGTCACTGATAGTGTGGAAGGTCAAGGTTCAGGTGATGAGGTGAGTTACCTAGTTGACATGTCCTCATCTGCTTCTTCCTCTTCTCGTCTTCTTCTTCATTTCTTCTGTGTTCACCTTCAAAAGGATACCTTGTGGTTTGTGGCTAGGTCGCAATATCTGTATCTTTCTGCCCAAGACATCCAATTTCAACAGACTCAGAACTATGCTTGTTATGGATCAGTAGATCTCTTATTTCCCCCCCACCCCCCTTTACCCCCTTTCATCGGTGAACATTTCTTCTTCCTAATGTTCATTGGCTGTAAACTCCTGCGGACAATTCTGGTTGTTCACCCATTTCTGGACTTTGGTCTTGTTCCAGAACTTGAATTTTGCATGCATGTCCAGTTTACAGATCGGTCTGGCTTTTTTGTATGCAGACTGTTGGTTCCTCGCTTTTTTGGCAGATGCATTCAGACTGGAGAAAACTCCCTTAATTAGTTTCCTTGTACGAAATGCTTATTATGGAGACAGTGGGTCTATTCTTTTTTTTTCTCCCCAGAATGGAACCCCGGAAACCCACACAGGGATGGTGAACATTTGATATCAGAAATCTTGTTTGCTTTTGCATTTCTTTAAGTAAACTCTTGAGTTTACACACATGACACATGAGGTAAATGGTGGAAGAGAAGAAGAAGAAGACACATGCCTCAAAGCATTTTGGACCTATAGGGCCAGACCTACATGTTATAGACAGTCATCACTCAGTGGGTGATGTAGTCAGAATCACGCCAGCTGCCTTTATTTCCCAGGACTTTACCTGGTACCCACTCAAGGCTGCATCAAACTGGGTGCCAAGGTCATTTTTTAAAAACAGTCTGGCTCCGTTCGAATTTGAGCCCACGACCTCCGGAGCTGCAGGCGCAACATCTAGCCGCTATGCCACAGCGGCTGCCATGTTGATTGGTACACATGACTACCCAGTCAGAGCGAGTGCATTTTTAGGGGAAATTAAAAGTAAAGGGATAAAACTGTGGGCATAACTGACCATCTTTTTAATTGGAATTTTGAATTAAGAATCAACATCATAGCAGTCGGGACACTCCCATAAGTGCTCCATCCCCATCTTCAGCAGCAAGCAAAGAGTTCCAGTTTTGATGGTACCAGTAGTTGTCTTATTGTATCTCCATCTCGCCTTTTCCTTGAGTGCTTAGCATCGGCCAGATCCCCTGGTAACTCCTTGCAGCGCCATTCTCCTCAGACTGTAATGATCTATTTTGCCTCCACACTGTTCACACGCTTCCAAAAGGCCCTCACAACATCTAGCTATTCATAAATCAACTTACCACCAAGTGGTGCAGAACTGGCCAGTCTGTCAGCCTGCTCATTTTCCAACACACCAGCATTACCTGGAGAAAATATCCAAAGGACGCTATCTACCGGGGACCTCTAAAGTGAAGCTTGCCACTTGATTGTCTTTTTAAAAAAAATACTATATTATCCATAATTGAAGAAGAAAAGAAGCTGGACAGTTTGACATCATGGCATGGAGGATCATCTGTGTCCGAGTTGATTGAAAGTACACGAGACAGAAGATTGTGGATAGACATGAATACCGAGGCCACACGGAATGGACTGAAAAGAAGATAATTTTCATACTGACATTATCTTTGGCTGCTGGCAGTCAGCATCATCAGTTTCTACTTCTGCCATTAAGTGTTGTGGGGAGGAACAGTTTGTGATCCATAGCTTGATAGGCAGCAATGGCTTTGTCATTCTGTGCTATGTAGAAGCTCTTTAATGCCATCAGTCTGTCTTCTACTATGGCAGCCTCTTGCTTACACTTCAGATTTTTTCATATGTAACGCCTGTGTTGGTAGCTCTGGCTGCATTCTGCTAAATGACCAAATCATTTGTATCCTCTGTCTGGCAGTAATAATGAAATAATTCATTTTTTTTTTTCCTCTAAAGTCTGACGATGTCATAATTGAACATGACGACTCAGAAGAGGATCAGAGAAAGAGCCTACAAGAGAAAGATGATATTGACAAACTCAAAGCCAAAAAGGCAGATTTAAGAAGACAACGAGCAGAGAGGGAGAAAAACAAGGAGAATATGGAAGTAAGTATTACACACTTTACATCATTCTGTCATTTATTTTTGGTTATATTTGTTTTACGTAAAATTGGAATACCATAATGTAGTCATTTAGGGTTAATTCATTTCTATGTTGCATTGTTTTTTTTTTTGTCATTGTTGTGCTGATGAAGGCTAGTCACTGCATCATCCTTTGTTTGTATATTATAATTGATTCTGTAAAGCTCACATTTACTTTGTTTTAAATATACAGATTCCATATGCTGATTCCAGCTTTATGATGTTTCATATATAACTTTAGGGAGTGTCATATACTTACTTTAGAAATATTTTATATATTGACCTTACAATGTTTAAAATATGACTTCATAGTGTTTAATTTTATTCATCTTCTCTCCTTTTTAGCATTTAGAAAGTTCTGATTGTTCACCCAACTCTGATCTTGAGTTTTGCAGGTAGATGCACTCTGACTTTGAAGAAAACACCCCTAATTAGTCAACTTTTATGGTCTGCTTGTTAGCATTAGCTCCTCTTCCCCCCACTCCCCACCCCCAACCAGAAATGTGGCTCCGGAACCCACACATGAAGTTTCATGTATTCATGTATTTTTATCTTCTCTGTTTTGTCTTAGGCAATCCTAGATAGTCACAGACATGGAAAGATTGAGTTGGAGATCTGTCCAATTTTTTTGATTCCTGACACCAACTGCTTTATTGACCACTTCTCTACCCTGAAAAAGATCTTGCAGACAAAGAAATACACTTTAGTTGTGCCTCTTGTTGGTAAGTTACTGTGCCATTAGTTGTCTGTGGGCTGTTTGGAATTATTGTGCCAGAAATGTCTACAGTGTGTTTTATTACCAGTTATAAGCTCCGTTGGAAAGACCTAATTTTTCATCCACTTGGACTTTGGCTTTGTTCCAGGGCCTGAGTTATGGGTGTACCTCTGTTTTTTACTGGCTTATTTGTGTGCAGTTTTTGTGGTTCCTCGCCACTCGGGCAGGTGCACTCCCACTTCGAAAGAAGTCCCCAAACTCCTCTTTGTTGTAGTTTACAGCTAGGCTGCAATATCTACGCATTTTGGCCGAACACATCCGATTTCAGCAGACTCTTAATTAGTCACCTTTTATGACATGCTTGTTACATGGCATTAGATCTGTTGTTTTTTGCCGCGAAATCTGTACATGGAATGAAAGTTTCAAATGTGACACTTCCTGTTGTCAGTTCTTGTGATCATTACATTTCAGTTGTGGCCGTTTCTGTAATCAATTAAAAGGTTGACTTGAACTGGGACAGTCACATTAGATTGGCTTGATCATAACAATTGTGGCATTTTCTGTAATCAATTAAAAGGTTGATTCGAACTGGGACAGTCACATTAGATTGGCTTGATCATAACAATTGTGGCATTTTCTGTAATCAATTAAAAGGTTGACTGGAACAAAACAGTTTTAGATGGGACAGTCACATTAGATTGGCTTGATCATAACAATTGGGGCATTTTCTGTAATCATTTAAAAGGTTGACTCGAACAAAAAAGTTTCAGATGGGACAGTCACGGTAGATTGGCTTGATCATCACACTTTCAAATGTACAATTTAGTTAAAGCATAAAATATTTTATGGTTCCCACAGTGGGCCTGTCAGACAGGACCACAAAAACCAGAGCATATTCTGCAGACTTGCCCACTCTACCTACAACTTTGAAATAAAACCTGGCCTCAAGAGCAAAGTGTGCAGAGCAAGCTATGGGGAACCTGAAGGACCTGCTACTGACATGCGAGTTCATAGAAGCAACCCACCTGATGGTCTCACCTGAGCATATGGAACTGAACGCAAAGAAGAATCAAAACATTTTTGAACGGGACAGTTGCAGTAGATTAGCTTGATCATTACAGTTTCAGTGTACAGTTCATTTTTTGAATAAGTTGATTTGAAATTTGACAATTAAAGTTATCAGTAAATACTAGAAGAGCAGCTGATCGATGGTTACAACACTGGGCTCTCAGGCAGAAGACCGCACAAAACTGAGATAACAGCATTTTTGGCCAAGAGAAACATTGGTGCAAGTTAAACTTTACGGGTCGCTGAGTGAATTACAAAAGACAGTGAAGTTCATACTAGGGACAACATTGCAGATATAGATAATCTATTTCAAGCGAACAAAAGAAAAAGAAGTTATTACTGGAGTTATCATAACAATTTCAAATGTGACAATTTCAGTTTTTGAGTAGGTTGATTTGACAGTAATTATCTTAAAGTGACATTTTGTATAATTACTGCCAAGTTGGTTTTCTCATTACAGTTTCACATGTGATAATTTCAGTTATCAACGAACTTGACGGCCTCGCTCGTGGAGCTAGAGACCATCAGTACGACAGCCCAGACCATGCCCACATGGTCAAATCCCAGGCTCAAGCTGCTATAGAGTTTCTTGAGGCAGAGTTTGAAATGAAGAATCCTCACCTGCGAGCCCAGACATCAAAGGGTTCCATACTAGAGACAATCGCTTTCAGAAGCGAGGAGTCTGATAGCTCCGTGAGTGGTGCCTTTTAGATAAATGTAGCCGTCGTCTCATGTTTCTGCTGAGTGTAATGTAGCCATGGCCAGATATTTCCTTAAAATGTAGCCTTCTAGAAGTATTTGTAAGGTATCTATGGCCAGGTTTCTCTGGTAGATGAAGCCATAGTTTCATGTTTCTGCTAAATGTAATGTAGCCATGGCCAGATATTTCCGTAGAATGTAGCCTTCTAGAAGTATTTGTAAGGTATCTATGGCCAGGTTTCTCTGGTAGATGTAGCCATAGTTTCATGTTTCTGCTAAATGTAATGTAGCCATGGCCAGATATTTCCGTAGAATGTAGCCTTCTAGAAGTATCTGTAAGGTATCTATGGCCAGGTTTCTTTGGTAGATGAAGCCATAGTTTCATGTTTCTGCTAAATGTAATGTAGCCATGGCCAGATATTTCTGTAGAATGTAGCCTTCTAGAAGTATTTGTAAGGTATCTATGGCCAGGTTTCTCTGGTAGATGTAGCCATAGTTTCATGTTTCTGCTAAATGTAATGTAGCCATGGCCTGATATTTCCGTAGAATGTAGCCTTCTAGAAGTATCTGTAAGGTATCTATGGCCAGGTTTCTCTGGTAGATGTAGCCATAGTTTCATGTTTCTGCTAAATGTAATGTAGCCATAGCCTGATATTTCCGTAGAATGTAGCCTTCTAGAAGTATCTGTAAGGTATCTATGGCCAGGTTTCTCTGGTAGATGTAGCCATAGTTTCATGTTTCTGCTAAATGTAATGTAGCCATGGCCTGATATTTCCGTAGAATGTAGCCTTCTAGAAGTATTTGTAAGGTATCTATGGCCAGGTTTCTCTGGTAGATGTAGCCATAGTTTCATGTTTCTGCTAAATGTAATGTAGCCATGGCCAGATATTTCCGTAGAATGTAGCCTTCTAGAAGTATCTGTAAGGTATCTATGGCCAGGTTTCTCTGGTAGATGTAGCGGTAGTTTCATGTTTCTGCTAAATGTAATGTAGCCATGGCCAGATATTTCCGTAGAATGTAGCCTTCTAGAAGTATCTGTAAGGTATCTATGGCCAGGTTTCTTTGGTAGATGTAGCCATAGTTCCATGTTTCTGCTGAATGTAATGTAGCCATGGCCAGATATTTCCGTAGAATGTAGCCTTAGCTAGAAACATCTATTGGGTATCTATAGCCAGGTTTCTCTGGTAGATGTAGCCATAGCTACAAAGTGATTCTGGAAGATATAGCCACTTGGATATATAACATCTGTACACACAAGTATGCATGTATATATTGTCTTTCTTCAGCATTCTGAGCCCTTGAGGTTCATTGTTGCAGATAATCACCCATTTCCACTCATCTCTGTGATTTGCCTTCTCTTTCTACTTTGGGACTCCAAACATGGAGACTCCAGATGTTTGTAGGTCTGCCTGTATATTATCTCTCCACTTCTTCTTGGTCTGCCTCATGGTCTGCGACCTTATAGCTCTCTCATATACATAGTTTTCATTTCTTTGTCATCTACCATTCTCTCTGTATGCGCCAGCCATTTCCGTTTATTAGCTCTCATGATGCCAGTGATCATTAATGATTTAAACAAATTATTAATTTTGTTATTGCTTCTCACTCTCCATTCACCTGCTGTTTGCGTCTTTGATGGGTCCAGAGATTTGTAGAAAAACTCTTTTTCCAAACTATTTAATAAGGATTCATTTGTTTTAGCTGTGCTCAAAGCTTCAGAGCTATGTATGGCACTTGGCCTTGTCAACATTTGATATATTGTAATCTTGGTGTTGCCAGATAAAGCCTTGGATTTTAACAGATGTTGTAGGGCAGTGCTATGGAATTAAGTTTACTCCGGAGCCTACATTTTGTAAATGGAGATCGTCACAGGTCAAAGGACCGAGCCGCAGCATAGAAAGATCATTAGTACAATACAGCTAGCAGTATCCATCTGTGGGCCTCTGCCAGTCAGATTTAGCCAGAGGGCAGCTGGTGTTCAACAGCCCTGTTGTAGGGCGTAGTATACCTTTTCCTAGATTGTATTCTAGATTCTGTTTCTTTTCCTAGAATGTTGGAGCAGTTGAAGTTTCTAACCATGTACTGATATATATATATATATATATATATATATATACTAGCTGTACCCGGCCACGCGTTGCTGTGGCATAGTTTGGCTAAATGGAAATGAAAGAAAATAGAAATCGCACGTGTCTAATACAATCATTGTCTGCTCAGATATAGAGATAGTCTTTGATCCCCACCTCAGCCACCCCCCCCCCCACCCCACAACTAAATCCACCTACTACCCTCTCCTTCATCAAATTTAAGTATTACCCCCTCCCCTCCCCTCTTCCACCGACTACTGCTTTCTCCCTCTTCGAAGGAAAAAATCACAGAAAATAGAACTGGCTAATATGATAGTCTTATTTCAGCTAAATCAGTTCAGTAGTTTCCGAGTCTATAGGGACCAAACAAACACACAAACATTGATTTTTATATATATAGATATATATACACGCATGCACGTGTGCGCACACACACAAACACAGAATGAGGTAGTGAGAGAGAAAGAGTCCTGTTTTAATTCATATAAGACATTGTATGATGACTTATCTGTTATGGTTGACTGTTGATACTGTGGGTTTTCAGGGTGTCAATGATGACATTATCCTGAACTGTTGTCTGCATTACTGCAAGGACATGGCCAGAGAGTTCATGCCCAGGGACAAAGGTATGTGAACTCATCTCTCCTGCTTCTCCGTCTTGTCTCATTAGTTTCTTCTTCTTCACGTTTACCGGCTGTAAACTCCAGTGGAAAGTTATGATTGTTTGTCTACTTCTGGACTTGAGTTGTGCATGTACATCTGGTTTAAAGATCAGGCTTATTTATAAGCAGACTGTTGGTTCCTCCGAGTTGTGCATGTACATCTGGTTTAAAGATCAGGCTTATTTATAAGCAGACTGTTGGTTCCTCCGAGTTGTGCATGTACATCTGGTTTAAAGATCAGGCTTATTTATAAGCAGACTGTTGGTTCCTCCCTCTCAGGCAGATTTGCTGCAACTTTAATGGAAAAACCTCTGGGTGGTGAGTCCCTTTGGGAACAAGCAATGGAATCAGTAGAGAAACAAGATTATTATGGCCTGGAGAGAATGAGGCACCTGGGTGTAACCAGAGGGTCTGGCTGGCTCACTACACTCAGAGGAAGGGCAAGACGGACATAAAACCAGATTATGACCGGTACCATGAGTATTAGAACTCTGTGCTGGCTGCTGAAGATGATGACATAGCATGCATGGGAATGCCCCAAGCGCTGTGATGTCAATTCTTGACTCAACTCAACCGATGGAAACGTCCCTAATTAGTCACCTTACAATATGCTGGTTTGGGAGCACTGAATCTATCCCCCCCTCCACCAAGATGAGGTCCTGTGTCATTAGTTTTAAAAAACCCATCTCTTATAAAGTAATACAGTAAAGGATGCTTTTCCACATCTTTATACATTTTAGGCACATAGAGCTAGACCTGTATTTTATAGACCAGTTGGCACTTAGTGGATGATGTGGTCATCATGATGCCGGCCGTCTTTACTTCCCAGGACTTGACCTGGTAACCATTTAAGGCTGAGGTCAACCTGGGAGTCAAGGTCATTTTAAAAAAAAAAGTCTGGCTTCGTCGGGACCTGAACCCACAACCATCTAGCATCTAGCTGCTACACTATAGCGGCTCACAAAGGAGAGTAGGAAAGGACCCATTTCCTGCCATTGGTGCACTTCTGTGAGTTTGGCTTGACTCTAGAGGCGAAATGGCCAGAAACAGTCTGGCCACTTCTAGAGGTTTGAACCTGGATCACTTTCTTGGCAGGCAAGCACACTGACGACTATTATGCCTGTCAGAGACCTACTTTATTTTGTATGGCTCGCTAGGTAGGCCAGCTAACAGACTTCACTACCCTACGACACACTTAAGACTCGCACCTGCTGAGTACAAACATAATCTTTAATGTACAACGAACAATACAACTTATTACACTTCAACCGAGTAGGCAGCCCTTATCCTGAACGCCGGCGTTGAGCAGCTTTTACATTCACTGGTCAACCCGAGCTGTTCCCATAGATCCCCAAGGACATGATTCCAAACTAACAGTTTATCAGTGCTGACTAAGCCACCGTCTATTGCCACGCGGGACTCAGTGACACACGTAAGGTGTATGGCCTAAGTGTGACTGGGCAGTGTTAACGCAGTGTTAACGCCATTAACAATGTGTGTCACACATTCACTAGCTGCTTAACAAATACTGCGTGGAATGTCTACTATACAAGGAACATTAACGCTATCTCGTCGAAACATTAAATGGAAACACAGCCTATCTAAAAAATACTAACCACAAACACTATTCAATCTAGCCGTCACTAAACTAAGATACGTTTACCTGGTCGAAGCACTACGTCTCGTCCAGTCCAGTCCCTACTACACAACTCTCCTCCAACGAGCCTTTTTGTTCCGCTCAAGCGTTCATCTCTCGACACGCGGTAATACGTGTTAACCGTGGGACCTGGGTTTAGCCAGTTAACTCGACCCAGTTTATTCCGTGGTCAAGCTGCCCGGTCTCACACTGAGTTTTACTGAGGGTCAGCTCGTTCATATGTGATGATTCACTATCATCAACTCTGTTCATCCCGTAGCCGAATTGGCCTCTGACAATGCCATAAAACGGCTATTTGACTGGTGCCCCATGGAAAAGATCTGACCCAGGGAGGCCTAGCAAGTGGCCCATGGATCGTTGTCAGTTATACTGTGTTAATGATCTGTCTTTGCTGGGGCCCGCGCCTCTGGCCCATGATGATCCCTGTTTTTTAAATATTTGCCCCTTGAGTTGGATAGCCCTACCATAAAAGCTTATGATTTTAATTTATTGAGTGACTGGGGAATCTGGCGGGCGCTCAGCACTCATGCCAAAAGTGAGATTAGGTTTACTGGTCCCATCGGAACTAGAACTGCTGCTGAAAATGGGGACAGAACGCTTATGGGAATGTCCCGAGTGCTGTGTGTTGATTCTTTATTTAACATTCAACATTCAACATTGATTGTATGTTTGTTTGTTTGTGACTGATATTTACAGCAGTAAAAGTCTATAGTTGAGCGCTAGCAAGAAAATCAGAAGCAAAGTTTTAAGAGCATGCATCTTCCCTGTAGCAAAATAATGATGTGAGTAGTGGACTATCTGGCATACATCTTCCCTGTAGCAAAATAATGATGTGAGTATTGGACTATCTGGCATACATCTTCCCTGTTGCAAAATAATGATGTGAGTATTGGACTATCTGGCATACATCTTCCCTGTTGCAAAATAATGATGTGAGTAGTGGACTATCTGGCATGCATCTTCCCTGTTGCAAAATAATGATGTGAGTATTGGACTATCTGGCATACATCTTCCCTGTAGCAAAATAATGATGTGAGTAGTGGACTATCTGGCATACATCTTCCCTGTAGCAAAATAAAGAATGTGAGTAGTGGACTATCTGGCATGCATCCAAGAGGAAAAATAGGGTCTTTTGATCTGAAATGCTATAGAAAGATTCTCAGAATACCATGGACAAGAAGAACAGAAGCACTGACATCTTTATAGATCTGAACCACAAGGAGGATTGGCTAGTAAACAGCATCCTGTCTCAGAAACTGAAATATTTTGGCCATATCTTGAAGCCCCACAAAAGAAGGCATGGTTCCAGGAAAGAAGGGCAAGCCCAGACTGACATAAGATGGGCACCAGCTATAAGTGACAGCTTGGGTACAAAGATGCACGGGGCAGGAGAGCTGGTTACAGGTCAAGTGTTCGTTTTTTTTTTTTCAGGCAGACAGCGACATTTTACAAAGTACTTGCAACGTGTTGATGATGATGACAACTAATATTTCGATACCTTGTGTGGAAAATCTGTCCATATGTTGAATGTTGAGTTGTTTTCTGCAGATCACCCAGTTCGATTGTACAGAGAAGTAGTTCTGTTGACCGACGACCGTAACCTGCGCCTGAAAGCCCACACCTGCAACGTGCCTGTCAAAGATGTGCCAAGCTTCAAGAAATGGAGCAAGATTCCCTGAACTCGGTGGGCAATGGTGTTACATAACTCTGTACTAAAATATTTATTCAGGCGTGAAATAAGGGATGTTTCCTTTAGCGCTTGTGGCATCTTTTCTGTGTTGGAGAAGATGGCACCATCCTGGATAAACTGCTTCCAAGCGGTGTGTGTCGCTAACATTGTTTTCTGCCGTCCTCTCCCTAGGTGCCCTGCTGTTTTTAACGGATGAAAAGCATTAATAATGCATTAATGAACTATCATTTTTAGTGTTGGTTTTAGTGACATTTTTACCTGCACATGCATGGCTGTGCACACACGAGAGGTCAAATACACAGTCATTCATTCTGTGTCTCGCTGTCTCTGTCTCTCGCTCATGTGTCAGGAAAAGAACGTGTGTGTGTGTGTAGGGAGAGGGGTATGTGTGTGTGGATCGTAAGTGTGAGTGAGAGAGAACATGACATAACAAATTATTAAATTAATCCAAGAAATGTGACTTAAAAGCTTAACAAAATGGGGAATGGGAACAACGGCCACAAAACAGACCAATCCTTGTTGTGCCAAAGTTTTCTGGGCATGAAATACACAACAATAACGAATGGCAAAATACTCCAGTCAGCACTACCCACCAGGGCGTCACAAATTATGTGTATAATGTATATAGCCAGATCAGAAGAGTAGTGTAGACAAAGCACCACTTTTCTGGTCCTGCAGCACACTTTGTTCTAAATGTATTCATTTTACCTTATCCTTGGGAGTTAGCAAGGCAGGCCAAGTGAGTATCATGATCAGCATGGTCTTTCTCCAGTGCTGCTCAGGATTTGTTGAGTGGAGAAGAGGAACTTCATTCATGGCCTTCATTGGCTATGATTCCCATGACTCATATATTTCCTGTAACGCAGTAAAACACTAGACATAACCTTAGCTCCCAGGTCGACCCACCATCCTTAAGTGGACACCAGGTAAACTCCTAAGAAGTAAAGGTTTCTACGTGCCTCGTATGCCCAATGCAACTCTGGTGTGTAAAGTGACCCTTACTTATTTTTACTTACAATAAAACACTATTGTCTGGGAAGAGGGAAAGATGCCAACAGTAACAACATGTAGAGCTCTTTTTTTTAGTGGAGGTAAATTGTTAAGGTAGAGCATGAATGCGGTTGGCTGAGCAAGAGAAATATTCACACTGGTGGAAAATGGGACAGAGACAGGTTTGAGTTTAAGATGTCTGCCTGTATCTTGTTCAAGGATGTCTTCTTGTTCTTCATTTGCCTATAAACGGGTGGTAGCCGCATTGTATTGTAGTTTTTTCCACTCATAAAACAGGGCCTTAGAAACCACACAGTGGGTAATCCAAAAAGTAAGTAAAGGTCCCTTTTTCCACGCCTTTAGGCGTATTGGGTATATAGGGCTAGACCTTTATTTTTATAGACCAACTGGCACTTGGTGGGTGATGTGGTCAGCATCACGCCGGCCGCCTTTACCTCCCTGGACAGCACCTGGTACCCACTCAAGGTTGGGTCAACATGGGAGTCAAGGTCATTTTTAAAAAAAGTTTGTCTCCGTCAGGACACGAACCCACAACCTTCCGATCCACAGGCTTCTTCCTCTTCCTTCTTCTTCTTCTTCTTCTTCTTCTTCTTCTTCTTCTTCTTCTTCTCTTTCATCATTTACCTTATTGAGGTGTTGGGGGGAAGATGTAAGGATTGTTTGTGCGCTTTTCCAGTGCATTGTACAAGTTTGTGTTCATTTCTATTAGGTTGCTTGTGATGATGTTGCTCCATCTCTTGCGTGGTCTTCCCCTTGCTCTGTGTTCTTTATATTTCTTCAGCGTGGCTCTCTGTGGCAGTTGGTACCAGGGCATTCTTGTCCTTGTGAGCATTTATTCAGCTGACAACCGAGTACATGCTGAGATGTGCATCTATCTGTCTGTTTGTTGTCTCTTAATGTCTCTTGTGGTAACATGTAACAAGTTGATTGTGGTGGTCTCTGATATAGAAATGTAACAACAGTCTTTGTTTTATTAACATACGAATATGGAGTGTATTTGTTTTAATAACATAAAGAATATGGATTGTGCCGGTATTTGTATTAATAGCATAAAGAATATGGATTGTGCCGGTATTTGTTTTAATAACATAAAGAATATGGATTGTGCCGGTATTTGTATTAATAGCATAAAGAATAAGGATTGTGCCGGTATTTTTTTAATAGCATAAAGAATATGGATTGTGCCGGTATTTGTTTTAATAACATAAAGAATATGGATTGTGCCGGTATTTGTTTTAATAACGTAAAGAATATGGATTGTGTCGTATTTGTTTTAATAACGTAAAGAATATGGATTGTGTCAGTATTTGTTTTAATAACATAAAGAATATGGATTGTGTCAATATTTGTTTTAATAAAGTAAGGAATATGGATTGTGTCAGTATTTGTTTTAATAAAGTAAGTAATACGGATTGTGTTAGTATTTGTTTTAATAACATGAGGAATATGGATTGTGCCAGTCTCTAATTTAGTGAACATGGATTGTGCGATTCTCTGATATAGCAACATAAAGAACACAGATTGTGTCAGTCTCTGATATAGCAACATAAAGAACACAGATTGTGTCAGTCTCTGATATAGCAACATAAAGAACACAGATTGTGTCAGTCTCTGATATAGCAACATAAAGAACATGGGGTTATGTCCATTTCTGATATAGCAACATAAAGAACACAGATTGTGTCAGTCTCTGATATAGCAACATAAAGAACACAGATTGTGTCAGTCTCTGATATAGCAACATAAACACATTTTAAGAATAATAACAGTGTACCTTCTTGATCTGTGTACATTACCGGTAGTGTATACCATTGATGTAAGTACATTTTGTGAATAATGTATGTATACTGTATATCTTGATAACAACCAGTATCCCCCAGAAAGCTTAAGTGCAATTATTTTTGTTTTATAATATTGCCATAATAGAGAAAGAAACCTGATTTGTTCTTGTGTGTGTGTAAAGTGCCTGTGTGTGTGTAGGTGCACACGTGCACACAAGCATATTTGTGTGCCCATATACATCAGTTATCAGACTTGTCTATGTGAATGTGTATGTTTGCTCATTGTCATACAATGTATGATCGCCAACTTGGGGTATTTACGAGACTACCCAGGCTCTTTGATGTGGAGAGGAGGAACCTTATCCCTGGCCTTCATTGGTATTGCCATGGGTTGTAATTCCCACACCTCCTTAAAGCACAATAGGACACTGTTGCCTGGAAAGACACAAAGGTGAAAACAACAGTTTATGATTGACTGAATGTTGAATTAAGAATTAATATCATAGCACTCAGGACACTCCCATAAATGCTCCATCCCCATCTTCAACAGCAAGAAAAGACTGTGGAATTATGAAGTAGCCCAGTGCGTGGTTTTCTGTATTTGGTTTTTTGTGTAGTAGCAGTCAGTTATACCACTGCTGGCTGGCTAGGCCCCGAACGTGGCAGGGCCGTTAAAAAATCTGACCTGGATGGTGCCCGTCTCCTTCCAGCGAGCCATTGCCCCATTGGCCTTTGAAGTTTGAACAACGGATCAACATCATGGCACACGGGTAGTAACCCAATAAGAGGTGCTCCATTTCTTCTTCTAACTCAAGTCTGAGTCTGAAGAAACTCAGCACAGTGCACAGGCTCTGTAGCACAAGCGAGGATCCTGAAATACTTTGGGTAGATTTTAAACTCCAAATTGTGCCCGGTCAGTGCTGTTAGGCTACTATTTTTTATTTCTAACTGCCAAGGGATTTTTTACATACGCAGCAATGCACACAGGCGACCAATCTCACTACCCAGAGACCAGGGGGAATTACTAGTAGTCCAAGTCCACGTGAAAAAAATCCCAGCTCTTAGAGGGGATTAAACCCTGAACCTCTAGCACTTGAGGCGGACACCATGCCTCGAGACCGGGCAGCCCCTCACATTAGCCTGAAACCTCACAGCTTCAGGAAATTAAATCTTGCTCAGAGAAACTATAAGAAGAGAAATCAGCATGATACTGTGTTTAAATCCTCATCTCTGTGATTAATGTGTACGTGTGGAACAACTGATTAATTGTACATGTGCACCAACTGATTAATGTGTGTGTGTGTGCACCAACTGTGTGTGTCTACTCAGTTTTGTCATCAATCAGCTGTGTGCATCATTGTCTTTATCATCATCAAATGAGTGTATGTGTGCATCTTTATCTTTATATCAACTGTGTGTATGTATGTACATCTTTATCTATTTACCATCGACTGTACGTATGTGGGATAGAACATAATGGAGTTATAGAATGTGCGCTTTGTGTTACATATCCTGGCTCAACAGGATGATGTGTATGTGTGCATATATTTTATTTTAAATGTTTGCAAGTACAGACATTTGTATGTACATCTTTATCAACTGTGTGCATGTATGTGTCTTCCCTGGCATAATTAACATAATTCGCTATTGGCATTACTAAATGAAATATGTCCTGCTCTGATCACTGCTACGTTTGGTCTATGCCATCTATGAGCTGTCTGCTGCTCTGGCTTCTGTAGCGTATGACCCACATCTGTGTGTGACTAACTTGGAGTCCTTGAATTATAGGATGATGCTTACCCTCTGTGTTATGTCTTGTTTACATAATATTGTAACTATTTTTTACAGCAGTCATTACAAATGAATGTGTGGCCTTGTAGTTAACTCTTTAAAGCCATATTGTTTTATCATTTTGATTTTATAAATAAAACAATTGTGTTTAGTGAAGATTGTCTGCATTGCTTTAATTGTGTATATAGTGTTTTTACTGTTTATTGTCTGCATTGCTTTAATTGTGTATATAGTGTTTTTACTGTTTCTTGTCTGCATTGCTTTAGCTGTGTATATAGTGTTTTTTACTGTTTCTTCTTTTTCTTAGTGTTCACCAGCTGTAAACTCTGGTGGAAAGTTCTTGGTTGTTCGTCCCCTTCTGAACTTTGGTCTTGTTCCAGAACTTGAGTTTTATGTGCGCATCTAT